AAATTTTCTGATAAGGTTCTTAGGAGAATAACGCGTTACATGAATTTTCGATATTTGAAACGGAATCGGAATAGTATGCTCGTTGAAAAAGGCGAAATTGTATGGTAAAGAGAATACTTAGAAAAAATAAGAGAATTTCGTGCATCTGGCAAGAAAATATATTACATGGATGAAACATGGGTAAACGAAGGTCATACTATATCAAAAGTTTGGCGGAATGGTAATGTTAATAGTAAGAGAGAAGCATTTTTAGATGGACATTCTACTGGATTAAAGGCACCTTCTGGAAAAGGACGATTGATAATAACACATATTGGAAGCGATACGGGATTTTTAGAAAATGGTTTGCATGTATTTGAGTCACGAAAGACGTGAGATTATCATGAAGATATGAACAGCGATGTATTTGAAAAATGGTTTGATTGTGTTTTATCATAGATAGAACCAGGAGCAGTTGTTGTGATGGATAACGCACAGTATCATAGCAGAAGGCTCGAAATGTCACTGATATCAGCATGGGGAAAAGCAAATATGGACTGGTTAAAACCTCTAAAAATAATAGATGTTATGTTTTATTATTTTTTTCCATATTTTCTATATCTTGTTGTCTTCTAAACTGATACGTCTTTGGATTTTCGATCCCCGCACGTTTCATCCTCCTTACTAGACCAAGAGCTAGCGATGAATCGCTCTCCATAATTTTGACCGCGAAGTATAGGCGTGAAGATGAATATAAAATCATTTCTTACCTAAAATCTTTAGTTCGTTAAAAATACTTGAGAGTTTTTTGTTTTTTTGATCTATTTCTTTGGTAGAGATTTTGGGCAAAAGTATCGGTAGAGATTGTAGGAAAGTATTTTATGTATTTTTTTCCATTTTTTTTTTAAATCTTACAAGATTTTAAAATTATACCTACGTTTAATTTCCAATTTTTATATTTGTTATTCTTATAATTGTTCTGTAACATATACCGATTCCGAGATAAATACTCGAGTTTTTACGAGTTAAGGGCGCCGTATTCTTTATATGGATTAATAAATAGAATAATCTAAAGCTTATCAAACAATAGGAATGTTATTTCATGCCATCTGAGTATTTTCAAAGACGCCGCAGTAAAACGAATAAACAATCAAGGTTTTAGGTACTGAAATCTACGAACATAATAACTTTTTTATATATATAACTGCACATGTAAATATTCTTATAACATTTACTTGCTTAGTCCTACATATAAAATTGTTTACTTCTATTTATAAGTACGTGAAAATAATTCTTAAAATGTGGGGTTAGGATAACAGAAAACGCATGTTTTACAAACACTTTTTTTTATTTGGGTAAATTTAAATGGTACCTAACAATGAATAAACAGAACATCAAGAATTTTATTTTTGTGCTTACTTTTGTTCTACACGTTTTACTTTTCAAGATTTCAGTACCTAAAAACGCCAAATATTTGACTATTTCTCGGCCAGGGATATGGACACCTTAATGATGAATCTAAAGTTTCAGTGAAATCGTTATCAATAACTATTAAACTGAATACTTTCCCGTTGTGGAGAAAAAGACATGGAGTTTGATAGTGTCACGAAAATCACAATATTACAGTAAATTTTTGTTATAAATAATTTTTTTAACTTCAACAACCTCTAGGTCCAAGCTCTTTCGTTAAGTTCTTTGTATCCTGTATATTCATATAAATAAAATTGTTAGAATAAAAGTAGGGGTAAAAACAAAGCATAAAATAATTACTTGATAAATAGTTTTTGAAAAAAATTCAATATTTCAATATTTAAATACATAAGCTGCTTTTATTTTTTCTGTCGGCAGAATATTTTTTCTTTTAATAGAACCATGAATAATATATATTTGATATTTAAAGTGTAATAAAAATAAATGTTTGGACAATAAATAACTAAAATAACGTCGCACAGTGAGTTTTATTAAAATTAAAAAAAACATTGTTTCCTCACCATTCTCCTTACCGTTTTACGTTCTAGTTGCTTATAAAGTATATACATTATTTAAGCGACAAGTATTCAAATTTAGGTATTCAGGATTTTTTCTAAGACTAAAATATAATATGCAGAAATTATTTCACGAACTATTTTAGCATTAATCGGGAGATTAAAAAAAATATAAAAATGTAGCTTAAGGGGTAACATCACTGTAAAATGCTAAAATAAAGCATATTTTGCGATTCTCTACTTTTTGTGTAATTGGCGAGCATTTGAGGTAAAAATTCAATTTTTGACAAAAAAGGGACCATCAATTGTCAATAAATAATATTAGAATCAACTTATCGAAAATCCTGGACGTAGGTACTTCTCTGCGGTGTGTAATTTTAAAGGTATGGTCAAAATTTGAAGTGAATAGAATGAGAATTGTTGGAATTATGCTGCGTGCCATTTTAAAAAATAGTGTTTCTTTTGCGATATACGCTATACTAACATACTTTCGTTTGAAAATGCTTCTAATTGAACTCTTTCTAACGACATCTGTTAGTATTAACGGTATTTGTTAGTAGTATTAAAGAAGTTAGGACTCAAGAGGTACGTCATTAGATTGTACCCTTCCTGGATGAATCCATGTGCCGCAGATAGTCGTTTAGGAACAGTCCGACACGCTTGGGAAAGAGCTTGGAATTTCAAAGAAAAAGATTTTGTTCAGGCATAGAACTTCTTTCCTCTTATTCTAGAAGGTTCAGAATTTCTTTTAAATTAATAAAAAAAATTGATTTTCTGAGAATTATACAGTGGTGTTACCCTTTAATGAAAAAATAATAATAAAAATATGTCAATCAGTGGAAAAGGTACTGGAAGGCAACATAGAAACATTAACATTTCGACGCCACATATTTGCAAATTATTTATTATTTTAAAATGCTTATATTATACGTAGTTTTTTGTATACAGGGTCGGAAAGTCCCCATGGTTCATCGACCGTTACGTGCGAGCGATAAAGAAGGTCATACAAATCCGTGCGATAGAGAAAGATGGGTATAATGAAGGCGTTTAATAGTCACCGCCCATTTCGCCCTTCCACAAATAAGATCCACTTCTTATTTCTCTCCACATCTTTCTCTATCGCACGGATTTCTATGACTTACTTTATCGCACTCACGTAACGGCCGATGAACCATGGGGACTTTCCGACCCTGTATACCTATACACGTATATTAGTTATTTGCAGACCGCAAAACCAACCCACTTAAAATAATAAAATTATCATAATTATAAACGTTTCTTTTGACAAGAACATGGTACATTTAGTTAATATTTTCTGAGGAATTTTAAACTTCTGTGATTTATGTTCTGTGTTTATAATGCATTGTAATGGACGATTAATCCAAAGATCTGAAAATAGCCAACTAAATCGTGTTTAAATTTCGCAGTTGTTCCCGTTTGTCTCTTAAGCCATTGTTTCTACATAGAAGACAGTAGATTATTATATTTTCAACACAATTTATGAAAATATATTAAAATAGTTCAATTAAATAAAATGTATTTCCCTACTCTGATTTAATATTAAAGTAAGTGTAAGTTAACATTGAAATGAGATTTATTACAAAACTTATTACTTTTGCAGTGTAGATAATTTAATATAGCATCCAACTAATACTAAATTTGATTACAAAACTTCTTAGTATTCCTTGCAGCTACAACTATTTGAAAACTATTTCTCTAGTGAATTCAATATTCATGGGGATTGTTTAATTTTAAAAATTCTGCGAACTACAACGTGCTTCCCTGCACATATTTTACATTCCACTTGCAACTGGTATTTTTGAAATAAAAAATGTAACTGTTACACACTCATACGCTGTGAGATTTGATGAGTTTATTTCTTATAATAAGATTAAAAAATCGAGCTCAATGTATCAAAAGTTATTATTAGTTCCTAAATACTTGTATTATTATTATAGATCAAATCTTAAGATGCGCAGTTCTTATATTTAATTTTTTCATTTATGGCTATTTGAGAGAAGAATAATAAAATAACCAAATAGTAAAGATTTCTAAAAAAATCTTCGTGAATTTCGATAATATTGTAAATGCAACTAAAAATTTCTAGATTCAATTACTCGTTTGACCTTGAAACTTTAAAAATTTTTGCATGCGGCATTTTTTTTGTTCTTTATTGCGAAACTAGTAAAACATCCGCCACTGGGGTTAGTTTTTTAGGGGTAAAAGTAAGTGTTCTGACATTCTTTTTTAATCAAATAAATAGTTGAGTTATAATTAATTCTTTTAACTGCACTTTAGTAAAGCAGACTACTTTTGTATGGCTTAGCGACGTGTTATTTTAAAGTCACCAAGGACCGAACTTTAAAAAACATTCTATTGTTTTGAAAAAATGTTTGTTATGTTTTAAAATAATTATTTTTGCAGTTTTAGAAACGTACATATTAAAAATGCATATAAAAATACTTACTAATCGGATTGAGATTTTTGGAAAATCGTTTTTACATATTGTGTTAATTTTTTTTAAGCAGAGTATACGTTTAATTTGTGAATCTCAGTGTCAATGACCTCAGGCTATGGTCCACTTAGGGTGAACTCTACTAATGTCTACGTGAAGTAGATAGGAACGCATTTATGAAAGTTATAAAATTTTAATAGAAATACGGGATATTTCTATTATTTTTTCTTATTCGAAATTTGAGAAAACAAACTTTTGATACCTGTTTCTAGAGGTCAAAGGTAGCCTGCGTATAATTAAATATGACCCCCATTTAAAATTACACTCTGTATGTGAGGTATAAGATATAATGACAGCTGCGAATTAATTTAATTAACAAATAGACAAATATTTTATAGAAGCAACGTTGTGTTAATTTGAAGAAGGCTAACTGTCATTCTTATAAAATCTTTTATCTTTAAATTAATCTCATTAATTTTTGTAACTAGTTTCCTAAACTTAAGGCTTGTTAGTTTAAAAACATTCTAGGCGATAAAAGTATTTTACGTTGATTGATATCGATCTCCTAGCATTCACTGTACCTTTCTTAAGGGTCATAGTCCTGCTTCCCTCGGTGGCACTGAAGAGTCCATTACAGGTTGCGTCCCCGCTTTGTGCGACTCTATAATCGACACCATCCAAAGCTTCTGATGTTGGCGAGGCTTTTTCATACACAAAGCACCTGAACCTGTCCTCGTTTGACGTGGCGTGGCTGTGGTGCAATTTGCCCACTAAGTACCTGGAACTGCCTTCTTTCCATGTTGCCAAACATTGTAACTCCTCAACTAAAAGTATACATACATTGTACATTGATATCACATATCACATTTTTCAGAAGAACACTAACTTTTTTCATATTACAGAAACCTATTCAATTTGTGGTATGGTGAGGAAGGGGCAAAATGACCTGTGGTCGAATATTAAAGTAAATTTAAAGTATTATAGCTAACCGGTAATTAATATCAAACATTCTTCTCAATGTCAGAGAGTTGTAAATATATCAAACTTAAGTTTAGCTCATGAAGAGCTGACTCAGACTCTGCTGCAAGAGAATTATCTCAATATAAATTATGTGGTGTTCAAGTATGTTTTATAAATAGTGCTGCCAGTTCTAATGTGTCAAACAGGTAACAGAAAATGTGATTTAAGAAAAAGATCCTATGAACATCAATAAGACTCGCATGGTAAAACGACTTTTGGGCAATGTCTTATTCAAATACCAAATTCAAATTTGCCATAAGAATATAGGATACAACAAAAATTGAGAACTGGTAAGCGGAGGATTAACGATATATTTTTGACTTGCTCATACAATTCTACTCTTAAACTGCATTCCAAGTTTTTATTCAATGAAAAAAATGTAAAAACAAGATTGTCCAGTATTTGACAGTTTAGGTATTCCAGGACCTCTACTACTTTCATTTTTTTAATAAGTAAAATCAATTGTGAAATATTAAGAAAACAATAAATTACAGATAAAACGAATACTCAGATCAGTGTTTATTTAAACTATCAATTTTATTCCTTGCAGGAATACGGGAGTTCATTTAAACATAAAAGAGGTCATTAAGCAACGGTAATTGTTTAATAACATCGTTATAGGCTACACAATAACACAAACTTGTATACAGGGTGTTAACGAACTTATGTCAAAAATTTAAAACGGTGAAAAAGGAGCAAAAACTGAGTTAGCTGATGTCACAAACTGTATCGGAAGTTTAAGGTCATCGACAAAAAACTAATTAAAAATGTGTTTAAAACTGTTTTGGAACTGCTGAAATAATGTATTTTATCGCGGCGAGTACTTACAAAATTTCTGTAATACTTTTTACGAGTTTGTAGGTTTCTTATGAAGCCGGACTGTATTCCAAAGTCAGTTTGTAATACATTCTTGTAGTGATTGCTCTATTGTTTTTTGAAAATGGCGCATTTATTTAACAATCGCGAATATTATGATATGCTCATAATTTATGGCGAAGCAAACGATAATGCCCACACAGTTTGTCGAGAGTACTATGCAAAATATCCTGAACGACGTGCCCCCTCTCCAAAAATATCGCACAGCAAGTAAATATTTCGCATCCTGTTGTGTGGCAGACAGAAACTCAGTTGTACCCATTTCATATTCAACGTGTTCAAGCGCTTACTCCTGAGGCTTTTCCCGTCGCGTCGAGATTTTTGCGAATGGTTGCTTCAGGAACATGCAAAAAATCCTCAATTTACAGCGCAAATATTTCTTACAGATGAAGCATGTTTCAGTCGAAATGCACAACACTCACCACTGGACTATCGAAAATCCACACGAAATACAGTTTTCAGTGAATATGTGGGCCGGTATCGTTAATGACACTTTAATAGGACCTTTTAAATTGCATAGACGCTTAGACGGTGTTTCATATCTAGATTTTTTGCAAAATCGCTTACCGGAGTTATTGGAAGACGTGCCATTAAATGTTCGGCAAAATATGTGATTACTACATGACGGAGACCCCGCTCACTTTTTTCGGAAAGTGCGCAACTTTCTAAACATTACTTTTCCCGATCGCTGGATAGGCCGCAACTGCCTTCGTTAGATGTTTGTGGGGATGTGAAAAGTTCACGGAAGTTTGCGACATCGACCAATTGCAACATCGTATTGGCAAAGGTTGTAATACAATTCGAGAGGACATGGCAATGTTGCAACGCGTGCTAGTGAATTGGATACGTCGCGCAGAAGCTTGTGTGCAAGCAAATGGTGGGTACATCGAACATCTTCTATGAAAATCAGCAACTCCTTACAATGTTGAGGTCAGTAAGTCATATTTTAAAATTACATTTTACTCAATACAAATCCGTGTATTAACCTCATTTTAACATAACGGATATGTGGCAAACATATTTAACATAAGTTCATTAACACCCCGTATGTCCTTTATAAAGCCGCATGTTTCGTCCTACTCTTCTTTACTTATTTCCTTTGTAAATCCCAAAAATGTTTATTTTTGTAAATATAGATACATGAGCACCTCAAACAAGAAAAACTACAACACACCTAATTTTGGCCGAATAAAAATTATGTAAGTAAGTGCGTTTTCAGATCCAGGTCATAGAATTTTTATTAATTATCTAATTCTTACTAGTTGAGATAGGAGCATCTACATTATTCCCAAAACGTCCTATGTATACTCACACGCAGATTTATTTTATAGTACTTAGCAACCATGTACGATGGCGACAGAAGCGAATAAATATTTATTGCTCCTAGGGCATAACCACAGAAATACAGACAGTGCAAGCGGTGTTAAATGACATGGCCTGGGGAGCGACGTGATAAGGGTATCTCAACTAATGATTAGTGTTGCTAATAATTTAGTTGGGAAATCTATTTGAACCGATGTCCTAAGACTTTTCGTCAACGTGTATTATACTCAGAATGGTTTGACGAAATGCATAGGTACGATGTTAAAAGATACGTTTTTGTTTTTAGGAACTTATCCGTCAATAATTTGCATAAACGATGACAAAATTAATTAATTATCCGATTTGCATTAATTTACGTATTTTATTTAGATGTAAATGCAATAATACACAAATATTAACAACCACCATTCATTATAGTTGTATCCAAATTCTGTGTTGACAAGAAGTTTTTGACTGGAAAAAAATGATAAAATGATAATTAAATTATGGGCCCTTATCCAATCTAAGTCTTTATAGCCATATTGTCATTGCATATACAGGGTGTCCCGAAAGGTCATCTCAAAAATGAGGGGAGGTCAAAATAGTTGTTCATAAATAATTCATAACAAATTTTTTCCTATCGGGTTTCGTTGTGGAGTTATTCTTCTTCAAAGAAAGAAGTTTGAAAACAAATTCCAATTATAACTTCTAACTCGTTACCATGACAACAATGAAATTTGGGCAATTAGAGTAACTCATAATAATGTTCATTTCCAAGTTTAAACTGATATTCAATATGCTTGGATTATACAGGAGCAGACGAAATTATCCATTTAAATGTATACATCTTTGACAGCGTTGCCAAATTTGAAATATTTCTTTCATAGTCCGATTCCTCTCTCACTCTACTAAAAAAAAGAGTATACCGTATATTAGTCGATATATTTTACTTTTTTGAGAAAATTGAATTTTATTAAATACGTACATTTATTGTATTAAAAATGTGATACTAATATTTTTGTAAAAATTAGTTCTATAGAATTAAAAGAAAAAAGAGAACTGTTGAGTAAGATGTTCAATCTGTGCACCTTGTACTTCAATGCATTTTTGAAATTGCTCAAACACCTCTGCTGTACTCGAAATAACATGTCATCATTTCTAATAATATCGGCGTATGTAATTCTGCGATTTAATAATTATTCCCTACTATGTATAGGTGTTTGATATATAAGACTTTTAAGATGGCCCCAAAGAAAAAAATCGAGGATTAAGATCGGGAGACCGAGGCGACCACGGGAAAGGATTACCTCGACCAATCCATCGATCGGGATATGTGGTATTTAAATAAGCCTTTATTGCCCTGCTAAAATGGGGTGGTGCACCACCGGGCATACGCCACATGTTATTTCGAATATTTAAAGGGACGTCTGCCAATAACACGTTAAGGTGTTCTTGCAGCAAATGTAGGTATTTATCCGCATTTATATCGTCAATGATATGTGATCTCACTAAGTATAGTTTCCAATTATTCCCATCCGTACATTAATGATGGAAGGGCTTCAGAAGCATTACATTCTACAAGTTCGTACATTAGATGAATTAGCAAATTCTTCATAGCTAAAATCCTCCATGATACTAAATCAATATATGGTGTCAAAATAATTTATGACAAATATCTATCTGCTAATGATACATACTTATTGACATCTCAATTTCCATTGAAATCAAAATTTTTACAAAAATGTTATATCACATTTTTGATACAATGCATGTATGTTGTTAATAAAATTCGATTTTTTCAAAAACGGTACAAAAGATCGACTGATATGCGATATGTATATATTTTTATAAGCAGAGAGAGGAATCGAACTATGAAAGGAAAATGTCAAATTTGGCAATGCTGTCAAAAATGTATAAATTTAAATGGATAATTTCGTCTGCTCCTGTATAATCCAGGCATACTGAATATCAGTTTAAACTTGCAAATGAACATTACCATGAGTTACTTTAATTGCTCAAATTTCATTGTTATCATGGTAACGACTTCAAAGTTANAATTGAATTTTATTAAATACGTACATTTATTGTATTAAAAATGTGATACTAATATTTTTGTAAAAATTAGTTCTATAGAATTAAAAGAAAAAAGAGAACTGTTGAGTAAGATGTTCAATCTGTGCACCTTGTACTTCAATGCATTTTTGAAATTGCTCAAACACCTCTGCTGTACTCGAAATAACATGTCATCATTTCTAATAATGTCGGCGTATGTAATTCTGCGATTTAATAATTATTCCCTACTATGTATAGGTGTTTGATAAATAAGACTTTTAAGATGGCCCAAAAAAAAATCGAGGATTAAGATCGGGAGACCGAGGCGGCCACGGGAAAGCATTACCTCGACCAATCCATCGATCGGGATATGTGGTATTTAAATAAGCCTTTATTGCCCTGCTAAAATGGGGTGGTGCACCACCGGGTATAAGCCACATGTCATTTGGAATATTTAAAGGGACGTCTGCCAATAACACGTTAAGGTGTTCTTGCAGCAAATGTAGGTATTTATCCGCATTTATATCTTCAATGATATGTGATCCCACTAAGTAGTTTCCAATTATTCCCATCCGTACATTAATGATGGAAGAGCTTCAGAAGCATTACATTCTACATTAGATGAATTAGCAAATTCTTCATAGCTAAAATCCTCCATGATACTAAATCAATATATGGTGTCAAAATAATTTATGACAAATATCTATCTGCTAATTATACTTATTAGGTATTGACATCTCAATTTCCATAGAAATCAAGATTTTTACAAAANTAGATGAATTAGCAAATTCTTCATAGCTAAAATCCTCCATGATACTAAATCAATATATGGTGTCAAAATAATTTATGACAAATATCTATCTGCTAATTATACTTATTAGGTATTGACATCTCAATTTCCATAGAAATCAAGATTTTTACAAAAATGTTATATCACATTTTTGATACAACGCATGTATGTTGTTAATAAAATTCGATTTTTTTCAAAAACTGTACAAGATAAAGAACGGAAAAAAATCTAGCAGAAATAAAGAAAATTTTGAAATTTGAATATAGTAATCATTATTTGCTCTATTGGAGAAATGTAAGCTGTTTGTCGACAGCAATTTTAGGTTTTTTAAAGGTTAAAAATTGTCGTGTTTATATACAGGGTGTTTCTGAAATAAGCGCGCTCCTTGAAAAGGGTGATGAGGGCACGAAAATGAGCATCTTTTACNTTTTTAAAGGTTAAAAATTGTCGTGTTTATATACAGGGTGTTTCTGAAATAAGCGCACTCCTTGAAAAGGGTGATGAGGGCACAAAAATGAGCACCTTTTACTAAGCAACTGATGGTCTAAAACATTACGTTTTAAATTGAAAAAAAAATTCATATGAGGGTTTAAACAAATTTAAAGTCGTTCCTGGTGCGGCAACCAGCTGTACCTTTGATATCGAAGTTGCCGCGCGCCGCAGTGCGAAAGCACTGATGGCGGTTTTGACGGTTAAAATTTTGTGTTCGAAAATGTTGAAATTCATTAGACAATCAGTTGATTAATAGAAGTTGCACATTTTCGTCACTTACTTGAGAAGCACCCTTTATACATTATTAAATAATTTCAAAATAACTAAAGTACCAATAGAAAAATATATGTGGGTAAAACTCAGCGTTGCTGAGTTTGATACAATTGTTATTTAAAAATGTAAAACTCACACATGTCTAGCAGAATGTAATGCACATTCCTCTATTTTTTTGTTGCAATCCTGTCCATCAATTAACGTTTGTACTGTTTCCGGACCACATAAAAAAATATAATCGGATAGCATATTACGAATGCTGGGAAATGTCCGAGCAAATATAAAAATATAGCGCAAAATGTTATTTAAATGTCAGAACTGAAAATTAATTATGTAAATTAAAAAACATGATTTTTATATAAAGCGAAATATGTTTTAATGAAACTGTCCGTCCAACGAAATAATTAAAGAAATATTAATATCAAACACTCAGTACGAATTAGATTAAATTATGTCAACCGTGAAAAATAACATTACGAATACTTCTTTTAGTTAACAAGAGATTTTAAATAAATACATTTTAAACCCTAGTATAAGGCTAATAAATACATAATTACACTAATGCAAGGATCAACTACTCCTACACAATAATATAATTGTTGGAATTACGTCATCATCAGCTCTCGATAGTTCGATTATGTTTATTTATAATGTATCTTCCTATATTTAGGCTAATAAAAAATATAACGGATTATTGTGTATCGCTGAAACCTGCTTTATGTAGGTATCTTAAAAATAGTGATGATTATTATTGAAATTGTTTTATTGGTAAATAATACAATTAAGTATCGTCTTGACCACGGTTTGCGATTTTGCCTTTATTTCATCTATTGTTGAAAAACGTTGTCCTTTGAGTGTCCTTTTGAGTTTAGGAAATAGGGTGGTTGCAGCATCACAACGGTGTTGTGTTTCGATAAAAACTGTTGGATAAGCAAAGCAGTATGCACCGGTGCCTTGTCGAGGTACAAAATCCACGAGTTGTCTGACAAGTATGTCACCAATACACATCACATAAAAAAGGAATCAACTCGATAGAAAAGATACAACACGTGCAAATTGAAAATTCCCGTTACAAACCTCATATTTTTCTTTTTACTAATTTACTTATGTATTTGTATTTCATAATAAATTAATTTAAAAAGAATCATGTTTCGTATATTGACTAATCAATAATAATTTTAATTTTACCTAATAATAATTTATGTTATTTGGGCCAGTTACAGGGTGTCCGGAAGCAAATGGGTCATACCACAATGGTAAATAAAACGATTTTTGCCGATTACCTCATACAATTTTGCATCCTTAGAAATGTATTGGCCTTCAACAAAAAAAAATATATATATATAATAATAATATATATTTTTTAAAGTAACTTCGTCGCATTCGAAATATTTCTATGAAATTTTTTGTGGAGTTTTTGGGGCAACCGAATATCAATCATTTCATTTGTGATATAAAACTAACAATAGGTTAACAATTTTTTGTTTTTCTTTTTTGCAATACTATTTTTATGAAAGAAATTTTGAGGGAACAGAGATATTTTGAAAAGGCTCATTATATTTACAGTAAAAAAAATTAATAGACAATAGAACTTGCAAAAATAAAAATAAAAGTTCATATGAACTTACATGTTTTAAAACTTTATTTTCGAGATACATGGTGTTAAAGCTAACAAACAAAACTTTTTTTCAAATATTCCAAAAACTACTTGGGCCGATTTTAATAAAAGTTGGCGCGTTTTTAGTAATAAGGGGCTTAATTTAATGTAATTAGATATTAGATATAATTATTTCAGGGGCAACGCTAGGGCACTCTAACTAGATAGTTTAACGAAAAAGTTATTCAGTTTCTAAATATTTTTAGATAAAATAATTAAAAACAAAACCAAACTTTTTTATGGAATTTTGCTAGCAAAGTTTGTTCGTTTTGTCACCAATTTTATTATTTATTTAACATTGCGATTGCGGAATCGTTTTGATTATTGGAATTAGTGACAAAAAAATATCAATATTTTAAAAGGCTTAATAGAAAAGAGTATTTTATAATTTCATTGTATTATTGAAATTAATCATTTTCCCAGAGACGGGTGGATAAACAAATTTTATTTATTTACTTTTTTCTCGAACAGTATGTAAACAAGTCCGACAAAAAATACAAGAAACAAAGAAATTATATATTTAATTACTCAGTTCAAAAATAATATCAAACTTATAAAAAAGCTGTGGCATGCTCAATCTTTTCTTAAGAATATCTACTTAAAATGCCCAGCGCTGCCCTGGAAATAACTAAATGAAATCTAATTATCATATTATGCCCCTTATTTATTATAAACGTACCAAGTTTTCAAATCGTCCAATGGATTTTTAAGATATTTGAAAAAAAAGGTTATTTTAAATTAACTAATTAAATTTTTCCGATTAATATGATACACCCTGTACACTACAAAGCTATAGCTCTATTACCAGGTTTAAGCAAAATTATTGCACAGAACAGAAGGTGGGTTTGGTCAAACTGTACTTCTATTAAAAGGTCGGTATCTACTAAAATATAGACTTCTGATTGTAAGTAAAAAATATTCTAAAACTATACTCTAGGAGGTGAAGTTAAGTTAAGCTAATTCTGAATCCCTTAAATATTCTGCTGTAACTGCAACTGATAGACTGCTGTAAAAAAAAACAAAGATTGTTTGAGGTGTTCTGTATGTTTTAGATAAGAAACAACTTTCGCATTCGTATTTGGTTACCTCAAAAGCCACCAATGTCAAATTTTATTAAAATATATATTTGAAACTAATGCAATTATCTTAAAAATAATGAAACATCTTTTTAAACCTCGTAACATTTTAAAGAGACAAAATTGTACTAATTGTAAAATAACTTTCACCCAAGGAAGCTACCCTTGTAGTATACGCATATGAGTAAATAAATAAGAGGATTTATTTGATAGGGCGGACGGAGCATGCATTCACTGAGGCCATCTCGTGTTGGTGCAACAACACATTGTCCTTTATAGAAATTTTTAAACAGAAATCTGCAACCACAGTTCGAATCTGTAGGCTTTTTTCACGACTTACTTAATCTTAACTGTCATATGGTAGTTTAAATCTCTTCATTCACTCACGCTGCACATACTACAGTATACCACTACACTCGCGAAAAAAAGCCTTGTTTGTATTTCCAATCTTTCAGTCAACGAAATACAGAAATAGACTGTTTGAGGTTATAAGTAGTTTATGTTCAGGTAGGTTCCCGCGTTTTGTGCATTAATAAATTTGGTTTGTTTTAGATTAATGTAATAAGGGATTTAGTGAATCAATCGTCTGAACTGCCTTACTGTTTTTTTATTCGTTTTTTTTTATCCAAAATGAGTTTTCCTAAATACGTGGTAATTCGTGGTACACTTTGATATTTCCGTCTTCAACAAAAACCCACTTACTTGCGCTTTCGGATCCGTGTACATCCGGGCAAGCCTGATAGCTGAGCAACAGCTTGCTCTCTTCCGTGCAGGAGTCGATGCTGGACACGGGCGAACGGCACTCTCCGTGTCCTCGATTGTAAGTGAACGTGAAGGGACCCCGGAACGGGCAGGGGACGGCCACTGCATTTTCTCTGAACATTGAATAGAGCAAAGCGTCTCCCGTTATTAGACTGCATAATGTCGGAAGTGCATCTCGACTGTGGCAGTAAGCTGGAAACAGATAAGATGAGGTTCATGAAAAAAACAGTAAAACAAAGTTCACTCAGAGGTGTCGATAAGTAATATAAGTTCATACTTATCACCAACGTAAGTGTCGATAAGTACATACTTATCACCAACTTTAAACAGAAATCAATTATAAAAACAAATTAGCAACTTTGAACAATATTTGAACAATTTCGGTATAAAGCTAAGGGTACGTATTGAATGACTAAAATGAAAAAGTTCTAAAAAATGAATTGAAATTCTGCATACAATTATTTAGGTCAGGAAATATAGAGTTGGACGCGACTTTTTGTTTCGGCAAGCTGAATTTATCACTATAGATGCTAAATATTATGTACAATAACATATTAGTTTCCACTGTCATAAAAATGGGGGCAAGATTGTTTACAGGGTGGTTAATTGTATAATTTTTACGTAAATTCACGTTTTTTCGCTTATAACTTTTTTCCGTTCATTTCCACGAGAAAACAGTAAAGTACTTTTTTTTCGTCTTCAAAAGACCTACAAAACTAGCTCTCGAGTGTAAAAAAATATTGATTAGATCAAAAGTTATGAACAGAAGAAGTTTATTTATGACTTTTGAATTAAACATTTATGAACTGCGTTATTATTACCAGAACGTTTTGACATCGCATCCTCTCATTTCTTATCACTGTCTAATAACTCACACGAAATCTGGAATCGGTAAGTTGAATAGTTTAAAAGTTATGGCCTTATAAACAAATTAACTAATTATTAGTCTGGACGATCCAGAGGATCTTCCACAATCGCACTGATTTTTTTCATGGTAGATTTCATAACAATACATTCAAATCTATATATTTGTTTAATTTCAAATTGCAACCTGGATTTTTTTTTAATTTTTTAGCCTTAGTTGCAAAATGAAATATACGATGCACGAGTGTGATAGTTATGTATTATTACATATTCCGAAAGCTTATGAAAAGAGCTTTAACTTAATAATTGCCAGGGAAGCCTACATAAATGTAGGCATATACTCGTAGAACAAGATGAATCAAATTTAATGACAAATCCAATTTTTTATTTCTCACTAAATTTATCAGTTTAGTACTCCTCTGCTATTATTAATATTTGGTTCAGTATTATCTAAGGTTTGTAATCCCGCAGTCTTTTTTTTTCCAGCCAGAAATTTGCGGCAAATTCGCCTTTACAGCGGGATCCCGCTGTAATTCCCGCGAGAGAATTAAAAATATATTTATATATGAAAATAACAATGCTATTATTGTGGAATGTTTATATTTAATCAAATGAAATATAAATAATTCTTGGTATTTAAAAATCAACAGATAAGTATTATATAAGTACATTAAAAACTATGTTTGTTAACTAAGAATCAACAGAAATCAACACATTAATAATATATTACTTTTGTTATTTTTACATACAGTGTAGGAAAGTACCGATGGTCTATCAGAAGTTACGTGAGAGCGATAAAGTAAGCCATAGAAATCCATGTGATAGAAATAAGATCCACTTCTTATTTGTGGAAGGGCGAAATGGGCGTTGACTATTAGACGCCTTCATTATAGCCATCCTTGTCTATCATATGGATTTCTATGGCTTACTTTATCGCTCTCACGTAACTTCTGATAGACCATCGGTACTTTCCTACACTGTAGATATTATTATGTCTCTAGTTACTTAACGTACTTGTTGCTGTTAAATTACTATATATAAACATCTAGGTTAGGTTAGTAATTTAATCGTAGTAACAATTTCTAAAAAAATATTTGCTGGATACGTCGATAATATACTGCCCTACTTCGGAATATGACAGTTTAGAGAAAATTGCAGAGACATTAGGCATACTTCATTTGACTGTCATTCATTTACTAATTAAGGTAATAACATGATTTTTTCGGTAATGGCAAATGAAAAACAAATATTTTTTAATGTATTTGAAGTATGTAAGGAAACATTGCAATTTCAATAAAAACAGCGTCGAAAATGTTGTTTTGTCTTAATAAATTTAAGATTTTGCTAGGTAAAAATGCCGTATGTGCAGTATGTGCTATATTTTCAACAGAAATTAATAGAAGAACCAGAACATGTACATCCTAATCATGATATTCTGGATGTTTTTACAGGGTATTTTACAATTTTTAATATATTGTGTTGCAAATAATATTTGATTGTTGTTTAATTTAAAACAACGCATGTAAAACATACGAATTTATTTTGTTAAAAACATCGTATTTCAACGCTTCTGCTAGAGAAGAAAGCCGTATGTGGTCACATGCGGCGTTTATACTATGTACCTCTTAATGAAATACATGCACATAAGTCTGCTAAGTGACACCATATTAGAAATTTAAAATATACAAATTTTTAAATTTAAAGAAACAAAAATGATATTTTTGATATTTATAGATGGGTAATGCGACATAGATTTCGAAAATGTAATTATCTCAATTTGTCACATAACTGCATATACGGTATTTTTCCGAAGTAGGGCAGTATAGTATAATTAAAGTAACATACAAGTAGACAAAGCTAATAGTTACGTATAAAATTTCACATTGTAAACACTTTTTTTTCGAAAATAAACAAACGAATCAAGGAATTTGTTTGAATGATGCAAAGATCGATGATTGATCGATGTTGTCACAGGGGAACGGGATGCGCACGCAAACCAAACGGGGCGCTCGCTCGCGCCACGCGCTGTCGCTAAACGGACGTGTTCTATTCAAACATTTCCCGCGCGGGAATTACCACACAAATGCGGGAATTCCGCAGGTCTCATTGACATGCGGGAAATTGCTGGAATGCTGTAACGCGGAATGCGGAATTGCAAACCCTAGTATTATCATTTGATTAGAACTATTTTAATAAAGACAATAAAAAAGAAATCTGTTCAAAGTGATCCTCATTTTCATTTAAACAGTTTTCAATGGCTTTCATCCAGCTCCAAATTGATAAATTTAGGTGTGGCAAATCGGGAGAACGCGGTGGCCATGGAATTAAATGACAACAGTCTGCAATTTGCAGCAAAAGTTTCGTGTACCTAAAGGTGTTGGAAACTATTTATCTGGTCCATTTATTTTTCGGAAGAGTCAATTCCATTGTATTTTTGCACTATCTTGATGATAATTTAATCACTCATTTAGAAGATTTTCCTTTATATCTATTAGATAAATCAAAACAGCTTCAGGTGAAATAAAAAATAGAGTATTTGGTTAAGGAACTTTCACAACCGAATTAATCTGCGCTTTGAATAACTTCTTTTTTTGTCTTCTTCTTTAAAATGAAGTAGTAAATCCGATATATTTAATGAGAAAGAAAAAAATGAATTTGCCACGAAACTGTGACGGGTATGAAAAATTTCAATAGATTTTTGTTACTTCAGTTTAGAAGTTCGAAAACGTGAATTATTTTTACCTGGCACAGAGACGTAATACTTTTTATAAATTAACTGAAAATATAATTCATATCTTCGTCACTGGTTGCGTGATATCGTCACATGTTACGGAGGCCTATCAGGATAGAATGTATGTATATCGAATTTCTTTTGAATACCCTCCATCAGTTCCAAACATATAATAAATAATACATTCTTTCTGCGACCTTAACACCATATATCTCTGAAACGAAGCATTTTTGAAGAAGTGTCCATATAAAAAACTCCGTTTCTATTTAAATGTTCTATCTCATACTCTCGGATCCGAGTTAATATGACTCACCCTGTATATGTCTTACAGAACACATATTGTTTATATGTGGTTGTTTTATCTTCATTTATTTTTATCAAAAATTTGAATTATATGTAAATTCAATCTGAAATGAGTGTAATTACTTAAATTGTTTTTGCCGAATTGTGTTCAAATAATTTCCGTGAAAAATCATTCGTTCACGATCATACGTTTTTAAAGTTCATAGAACATTACATAGTTGTTACTGTTAAGTATATTTTGATGATAATAATTAAATCAGATTTTTATTGAAAATAACATATAGTAAAATTATTTATTACGCGAAAACCGTTAGAAATAAAAAACTTTACAAGGAAAAAAACAAAAAAAAAAAGGAAAGCTCGCGGTTTTGTGACAAAATAAGAACTGAAGTTGTAGTGTCACCTGAAAAAAAAAAATTGGTTATTCGTGATGTATTGTTCCTTTTCTGGAGATGTCATTACTCAGGATATTATCTTAAATACTGGCTTCTGTATATGAGTAGTGGCATATTAAATTTTATTCAAATCGGACTAAGCGTTTCAGAGTTATTTGCGAAGGAACTTTGGATAGAGGTAAGTTTAGTTAAATTGTCTGATTTTGACACCTAGAATCTGTGGTAGTTGCCTTGTATGCGGAATGTTAGAGCAACCTATATCTACCAATATTGCTGTTATTTTCATTAGGTACATATTAATGTTTACAGTGTTCCAAAATATAATCAGATGTAAAATCACTTCACTCATATTATTTATCACTGCTTTCAATAATACCTACATAACTGGAAGTACCACCTTCAAATATTCTTGAAATAAATGATTTTTAAAAGTTTCTTTGAGTAGGGGACCTCCCAAACTTTACTTCGAATGTTAAGTTAATGGGGCTTAGAGCAAGGTTTACACCCCATTTGCAGTTAAAGCCATTAAAATGACAAATCAGGCTATTCATTTGACACTTTAATTGGTTAACTGGATCGAGAATCTTAAATAGACATTTTAAATACGTTTTATTTATTACTTAAGTTACTTAAGTTCATGATTATAATCAAATATATTTCTAGGTACGTTAAACCTATTTTTTCTTTTAGCTTCTAAAATTCAACAAAAAATGATAGGAAATTTCTCAGAATGTAATGCAACCCGTCAAAATAAAAAAGTTTCTGGGGGCATCTCTCCTGAAGCAAACCTTGTTTCCAAGATATATTGTATCAAGTTTATTAGGTATCCATTATTATTTCTATTATAATATTATAACTATTTTAATTATTTATATTATCTATGCTTTATCTCTCAAAAA